CACTGAGCTAGAGAATCAGGTGACCCTTAGGGATTGTTTAGACAATGCTCTAGGAGGACATGAAAAGGTCATGTGGCAATCTTTTGGTGCCATTGCGTGTTTTGGATAATTTTGCTTAAAAAGGAGAACAAACGTAGATTTGGTGGGTGATCAGGTCAGAAGCCCTCAAGGAAGGAAAATAGAACATTTCTCTAAATATATTATACTATTTTCCCATAAAGCACATCCCAGAGCGCCTGCACTTCAGGACTGTGGACAGCTCTTCAGCACTGCACTTGGGCATTTTAAACACTTGTCTACAGCACGAGAGTTGCATGGAGAAGGCAGGGTGCAGCCTTGCTGGGCTTCAGCTAGGAACATGGGTGCTGTGTGTCCACACATGGCCGCAGAAGCCCCACCAGTATTGATTTGGGTTCCAAATAAATTTTAGCAAGCGGCGAATTCACTCATTGAGGATCTGTGAGTAAAGAGGAGCCCCCGTAATATGTCCTCTCCATGCTTCCCACTCCACTCCCTGGTTCCCCTGGTGACATGACGTTGTCCTTCTCTCTCCCACTGCCAGGAACCCTTGTGCTTTCACTCTGCCCTCGTTCCCCATTCCACACCCCATTGAGCTAAACGCAACCAGCTTCCCAGGGAAGAAAATCTCTATGATATTTAGGATTAGGTCAGCATTTATCTCCACTAATGGGAACCTCTGAGCAGTGGCCAAACAACACACCCACAGGCATTGTGGACCCAATTTTGATTTTAGGGTGGGCTCTGAAGCCTAAGCCTTCACCATACTGTAAAGGCACAGGGGTAACCACTGTCTTATCCCCTTCTTCTCCCTAGGAATTTCCTCCTTGGTTCCTGGCTTTCCCTGCCACTTCCCATTCAACTATAAAAACAAGAATTATTTTAACTGTACTGACAAAGGCACAAAGCAGAACCTTACGTGGTGCGCAACCTCTTACAACTATGACCGGGACCACACCTGGGTGTATTGCTGATGCAAAGGTGAGATGCGTAACGTACCCGGGGCAATGCTGTGTCCTTCCAGCGGGGTGAGCTCCACGTCCCAGAGGTGAGGTGAAATGGGGGTGGGGGGAGACTAGGACAGCTTCCCGAATTAGAAGGAGGTGGGCGAACTCTTTCAGACCCAGAAAGGCATCTTGCCAAGTTTTAGGTCCAGGAGGTCTTGGGTGTGCAAGATAAGAAAATGGAATTTCTCAAACTGGAACGTAAGAAGAAAAGACGAGCTTGAGAGGAGACCACCAGGATTTCTCTGGTCCCCAGAGGACATGGCACCAGGTTGTTGATCTGCTACCCCCATCACTGAATAGCCAGAGGAGGAAAAGGTGGGGGTCACTTCTGCTCTCCATCGTGTGGGTCCCTCCCCCACCTCCACACATAAGTCTTCAACTCTCTCTGCAGGACCAACCTCACTCCCCCTTCCAGCCCTTTCCTCGCCTTCAATATTCTTAGGCCAGTGGAAACTCTCCAGACCCCCTGCATGGGTCCACTGGCCTAATCACTCGGTGGTTCTGGGATTTAAACACAAACAGAAGCCCTTTCATCAGATGTGTGGATGGCGTGTTTCTAGAAATATTTGCCCTTACGAGGCATGTGGCTTATGGGTGACACCAAAATTAGTGACCCCTCCTGAATTTTGGCTTGGCCATGAAAATTATCTTCCCAGAACAGAGGAGAGGCAAAGGAGTGGGCTTGGGGCTCTGGGTACCATCTTAACAGGGTGGATATTTAAAATCACCCACAAGCTGGTGTGCCTGGGTGGCTCAGCCAGTTAAGTGTCTCTTGATTTTGGCTTGAGTCATGATCTCAGGGTCGTGGGATCAAGCCTCGAGTCAGGCTCCATGCTCAGCACAGAGTCTGCTCATGATTCTCTCCCTCTCCCTCCCCCTCACCCCCCACTTGCACACACACTCTCTGTCTCTAAAACAAAACCAAAACCAAAACCAAAAATACCCACGAGTCATCCCCAGGCTGTGGCTAGAATGAAGAACATTTTTAGTGCCCTACCTCTGACTCCTGTCCAACAGAGCACAACTATCTTCTTCGGATCCCTCTTCCACCAAACCTATTAGTAGAGGTGAAGTTAAGGTGCTCATGGTCAGTGGCTTCCAGCCCCCGTGAGCCAGGTGAGGGGCAGCGGTGTCTAACCCCTTCTGGCTCTGCTGCCTCATCTTCTGATTCAGTCTTGAAACCCAATACAATACTTCTGTATTCACATTACATTTTGAGTCAGTGCATACCTATTACCTGAATGCTGGCTTATGATTCTATTTTCCAGGGGAGGACAAATATCCTCAGAGGAAGATGGACATACCAAGTTTAGAACCTGCTTCATCTTTTTCATTGAGTCTTTCAAGTTTAATCGCTTTTAGAAACACCTTGTCCGCCAGTTTGCTTAATCACTTGGTCCTTTGTGAAGAACAGAGGGGAAATGTGGCATAACCACCAATAAAGGAGCCCACAGTTAACCCCAGGGCTGCCCTTTGTGCTTCCTGGAATGAGAGATATGGTGAGGGACTGGAATGTGTGGTGAAGGAAGCGTTGGTGACTGGGTTGGTGAGTCTCATGGAGGGAGGTCAGATTCTCAGCCCAGGGGCCCTTGGAAGTTAACTGCAGCCTGCTCTCTCTTTCTGGGAGCCCATAGATTTGGGTGGAGCATTTATAGATACTTGTTAAATCATTAATAAATAAATTAGTAAGTAAACAGAAGGTAGAAAATTCATTGCACTTGATGTAATGAGCACTGGGTATTATATGCATAACTGACAAATCACTGAATTCTACCCCTGAAACTAATAATACAGTATATGTTAACTAAATTAAATTTAAATAAAGAATTAAAAAAAAAGAAAATTCATTGCAAGACTACCTTGACTATTCCTTCCCCATGCCTATGGCAGACATCAGTAATTAATTACAGAATCGGCTTCCCTGTGAGCCCAGATGCATCCTCATGTTGTTCTTCTCCTCCCTCTCTCCCTGCCCGCTCTCCCCCACCCCTCCTCTCTCATAAAACATTGAGCAACTGCGGGCGCCTGGGTGGCTCAGTCGTTAAGCGTCTGCCTTCGGCTCAGGTCGTGATCCCAGGGTCCTGGGATCGAGCCCCGCATTGGGCTCCCTGCTCGGCAGGAAGCCTGCTTCTCCCTCTCCCACTCCCCCTGCTTGTGTTCCTGCTCGATCTCATTCCGCTGTAGCTCAAGAACAACCAAATGATCAATCCTCCCTTAATCACATACAAACACGCCACAGGAAACTTGGCTCTCCTGCCCCCTGGTCCCTCGTGTGCCCCCCCATTGTCTCCAGCCTTCCCTCACACACTTCCTACCACTGCCCCCTCACTAAGTACACTCCAGCCACTGCCCTATTCCTGACTCCAGCCTCTGTGCCTTGCTTGTGTGGAATCCCCTTCTCCTTGACCTCCTGAAGTCATTCATAAAATCATTGTCGATAAAATGTTAACTTCGTAAAATATAAATAAAATTCAGTTTCTCAGCCTCACTCACCACATTTAAAACTCAGTAGCCACATGTGGCAAGTGGCTACCGTAATAGTGCAGATCTAGAACATTCCATCATCACAGAAGATCCCATTGGATTGTGTGGCTGTAGAATACAAGCTCCTTGAGGTCAAGTACCTTATCATTGCTCTAGTTCCATCACCTGAAATAATGCCCGGCATAGAGCAGGGCCTCAGCAAGTATCATGTTGAATAGGTGAGTAGTGAGTGAGTGGGATGGGCAGATGGACAGGTATATGGATGGAATGAGATGGAGCTGAGACAGGAGGCAGAAGCCATATTTTAAAGGATGATCTGGATTATGTCACTCCTCTGCTCAAAATCCTCCAAGGTCCTCAGACTGGCCTCTAAACATGCACGGTTTAACCCCTGATCCACCACCTACCCCTGTCCAGCCACCATGGCCTCTCACCATTCCTCCACCACAGTCAACTACATTCCTGCCTCAGGGCCTTTGCATTCACCCTACACTGTGTTGGAAGTGCTCTTCCCCTGGATATGCCCCTGGTGCTCAGTAGACTCCGATGACCCTATGTGGAATGGGGACTCCTCCTCATTCTCAGACCCCTTAAACCAGTTTCCTGCTCCATTTTTCTCCATATCTCTTACCATCTTCTACCATACTCATGTATTTTGTTCCATGTCTGTCTCCTCCCTTTATAATGTAAGCTCCCAGGAGGCGGGGATCGTGTATTTCATTCACCAAGGGAGCCCCATGTTTGGAAGTGTGCCCACAGCGAGCACTTCATACGTCGCTGTTGAATAAATGAAGTGCAGGAGGGAAAGAAGACAGGAAGGAAGACAGGAAGGAAGGAAGGAAGGAAGGAAAGAAGACAGGGAGGAAGGAAGGAAGGAAGCAAGGAAGCAAGGGAGGGAGGGAAGGAGGGAGGAAGGGAGGAAGGGCAAAAGGAAATTTTAATTTTATGAAACAAGGCTATTGAACCTGATGACCCTTTGTATATATCTACTTAGTGGGTTTCAAACGTGCGAAAAACCTGGCAGAAAGTGGGACATGAATCCTGTACTTCAGGGACCTTGTGTTCCTGGAGCATCCTGCCTGCAGATGGAGGTGAGGAGCAAGAGACCCTCCCATTTCAGGGCGCAGGTCAGCGTCAGGGTGTGAGGGCTGGCACAACGTCCCCCCTAACAGAGGCAATCTCCCAGAGTGCCCAGGGCGGACACACAGGGGGGCTGGGGTTCCCAGGAACGGTTTCCACACCACCTGGCTGAGCTGAGAATTTGAGAACTCCTCGTCCTCCCTCTCTTTACATGATGATATTTTGCAGGGGATTAACCTCCCCCCCTCCAGGGATCAGCTTGCTCTAAACCTTGGTAATCCAGATTTATGATTTAATTCAGTGGCCTGAGTATCTTACACAAGGAAAAGGAAGTAGGAGGCCGGAGGGAAAAAACGGACCGAGCTTCCGGGAAATCAACAAAACGGGCTAAGCTCACTTTGGAAGCCTCTTTAATTAACCATTTCCAAGCCCAGTCTTATCAGGAACCCCGTTTGTAGCCCCAAGATTGGCATGCCTCTCTCTTACTGACAGAAAGAAACTGAGGAGATCGGAAGCAACAACAGGGAAGGGTGGACTACAGGCTGAACTTTTTTGGGAGTTGGACCCAAGAGGACGCTGGGGAAGAGACTCTGGAGGGTCATAGGCATTAGGGATTACGCAGTCAAAAGATGTCATTAACCTTTGGAATTGGGGGAGCGGCACTGACCCTAGTCCCAATCTCATTTCCATACGTAGACTCTTCCTTCTTAATCTCACTCTAGAGAGGTGCCCCTCACCCCACCCCGCCATCCGGGCAAAGCGATCACTTTCGGGCTAGCCTCAGCTCATGCTCTGTGGGGCCGGTCACCACGCACCCTCCCACCCTCTCTCCTGGAAGGGCCCAGGTGGGATTTGGTCCTCAGCAAGTGCTTGATCCACATTGGCCAGGTGGGGAGGGAACGGGGCTTCCAGAACCTCCTCAGCGAGACATCATCTTCACAAACTCTGCAAAGAAAAGTCCCCGGTGAGGCATCTATTTGTAAGAACAGCGAGCATTCACTTTTGAGCCCTTACTGTGTGTGTCAGGGACCATGGGGGATCTTCAGGAAAGTCCTCGACGACCCCGTATACCTGTTTCTTCATCTCCAAACTGGGAGTCACAGGACTACCATATACCTTCTATAGTCTTTCAGATGGTTAAACGCGATCATGCTTATAGACACATGGACTGCTCAATAATAACTATGATTATCTGATTCCATCTTTTCAACCAGTTCTGGAGGAGTAAATATCATTTTACAGATGAGCAAACAGAGGCCAGTGAGGTTGACCAGTGCACCTGAGATCACGTGGACGGTAAGTGGCAAAGCTTGGAAGGAACGCAGGGTGCCCCTGACTCTGCTCCATGGCTCCATGCCAGGTGAACTCCAGGGCCCCACCCAGGTCCTGAGGTCAATCTGTCCCTCCCCTGCTTGGGGATCTGTCTCCTACCTCGTCCAGATTTCCAGTGATGCCCCCGGTACACCTGACCCTGGTGAGATCCAGCAGGCAACCAGCAATCATTTACAACTGTTGTGGTCATGCAATAAATATCTACCAAGCTTCCCTTTTGGGAATGAGAGAACAGATGGTTCAGAGAACATCACTTACCCCCCTCCAGGATTTGACAGCCCGGGAGGTCAAACTCAACTCAAAGCAGCAAGGTCTGCAGTGATTACTCCCTTTGAAGGGAGAGGAGCAGACGATTCCCGAGGGATAGCTAAGACCTGAGAATGCACTGACGGGGAAGGTGCAGGAAGCGGAAGGAAGGTCAGGGAGAAAGGAACAGGATTTTGAGGACACAGAGCAGGGGCCAAGGGTGCCCCAGAGCACAGCGACTCAGAGAGAGGCTGTCGAAATGTGGAGTGGGTGGGGGGCAGACCATGGGTGCACTTGAACACTGGATTAAGAATTTAGCTTTTGTCGTGGCCCCTGGGTGGCTCAGCGGGTTAAGCATCTGCCAGTAGCTGTCCCCACGCAATGTCACCTTCAAAGTCGACGGTACCGTCTCCATTCACGTCGGCCTCCTGCACAACCTCCGAGATCTCTCGGGGCGTGAGCTTCTCTCCCAGGAGCCTCTGCATGGCCTGCTGCAGCTCCCCGAGGGTGATCTCCCCGTCTCCGTTGGTGTCAAACTGAGCAGAACAGAGCGATCACGTGATGTCAGCACAACAAGGGCACTGTTTACTGACCATTTACTGTGGGTCAGGAACTAAGCTAAGAGCTTTTGCACACGGCACACTGGCGTGTCAGCTCCCAGAAGGCGGGTCATCTGCACGGTCTTGTTCACTGCCCCGGGCCCAGCCCCCAGACAGTGCCTGCCACCCGGCACACATCGCATAAATATTGGCTGAATTAATTGTTTTCAAGCCTCCACGCTGCACACCCTTAACCAATCTACCAGAAAGTCTCGTACGTTCTATGTCCCGAGCAGGGGACGCTGATGCTAACCTGGCCGAAGCCACAATCATCTCCTGCCTGGACTATCATGACAGCCCCCTGATTGGTCCTCTGGCTCCCATCGTGGTCCACACATCAGAGCCTTGCGTTCATGTTCATTTAAAACAAATCAGGCGCCTGGGTGGCTCGGTGGGTTAAGCGTCTGCCTTCAGCCCAGGTCAGGATCTCAGGGTCCTGGGATCGAGTCCCATGTCAGGCTCCCTGCTCAGTGGGGTGTCTGCTTCTCCCTCTCCCTCTGCCCCTACCCCCTGCTTGTGCTCTCTCTCTCTCAAACAAATAAAATCTTAAAAAAAAAAAAAAAAGAAAGAAAAGGTAGATCCACCCACCCAAGGTTTTCCAAAAGGAATGTTTCCCAGTAACTGAATTGCATATTTGTTTTTAAATTCAAACAAGTTGAATTTATATTCTGTTGAATGTAAACGGAAATTAAATAAATAATCGAATTGAAACTAATCAAATTTAGGGGCTCCTGGGTGGCTCAGTCGTTAAGCGTCTGCCTTCGGCTCAGGTCATGATCCCAGGGTCCTGGGATCAAGCCCCACATCTGGCTCTCTGCTCAGCAGGAAGCCTGCTTCTCCCTCTCCCACTCCCCCTGCTTGTGTTCCCTCTCTCGCTGTCAAATAAATAAATAAAATCTTTAAAAAAAAAACAAACTAATCAAAATTAGATAAAATGAAAAAAATGAGTTCCTCAGTCACACTTGCCATATATCGAGGGCTCGACATATATGGCCAGGGGCTGCATTTTGGACAGAGCGTTTCGAGATCCCAGGAAGTTTTGTTGGACCATGCAGCTCTGGGCCTCTATGTGAAGCTGGGACAGAAAAAAAAATCACACAGCTGGTAGGGGGAGATCTTCCTGGGATTTGGACCCATGTTTGCACAGCTCCAAAGTCTTTCCTTCCAAAGCCTACACTATTCTTTATTTTTGCCTCCTATATTGAAAGCTCTGAGGAAAGAGCTTTATTTATTTATTTATTTTTAAAGATTTTATTTATCTATTTGAGAGAGAGAGAGCGAGACGGCGTGAGCTGGGGGAGAAGCAGAGGGAGAGGGAGAAGGACAAACAGACTCTGTGCTGAGCGTGGAGTCCGACATGGGGCTTGATCCACGACCCCAAGATCATGACCTGAGCCGAAACCAAGAGTCAGATGCTTAACCGATTGAGCCACCCAGGTGCCCCTGAGGAATGCATTTTATTAGGGGATGAAAGCGAATTTCAGCAAGCCCCTTACCCTCCCTGGGTCTCATTTTCTAAGTGTCTCTACAGGTGGGTTAAACCAGATTATCTCTTTGCATTCCCCTCTGGGATCTCAAATTATTGGATTCCTTCTTCCCATTGTGGGCATGGAGATTAGAGGTCCTAACATGTATTCTGGGGATGGCAAGACCTCGGGTAAGATTTGTAAATTCCATGAGCCTCAATGTCCTCGTATGCGTAACTGTGGTAAGTGGCGGCTTAGCCCTACTGTTCTTTATGATGATTAAACTAGAGAATATATGTAGGGGACCTTGTGCCTTGCAAGTGTTTGGAAGACGTCATTTTCCTTCCCTATAAATCCCATTATAGTTTCCAAAAAACTTGGTTTGGGTGGGTTCCGTCCACACTTGAAGACCAATCGTAGACCCCTGGGGTTTCCTTCAAGCACCAACACCATGAAACTCTTAACTCACTTCCTTGAAGGCGTCTCTCATCTCCTGGATACCGATCATCCCTGCTGTTTCTGCAAGCAGTTTGGGAGTCATGAGCTCCACAAAATCGTCAAAGTCGACACGGCCACCCACTGAGGACAGAAGAGGCAGGTCTAGTGAGATTCCACGTAATCAACCCCCCATGACCTCGCTGGACCCTTCAAAGTCTGTTCAAGAGGGAGACCTGCTCTGATCTCTCTGTCTTCTGAGAGCTTGCCCTCTCAGCCAACCCAGGCCCCAGGGTCCCTCTAATCCGAACCCGGATGGATGGGTGCGTGGGTGGAAGTCACTAGCTGTCCCTGTGACCTTAGGCAAGTCTCTTAATTGGTTCAGATCTACATTTGCTTGTCTGTTGGTCTGTAGAAGGGGGAGCATGAATTCAGTGGGAGCCAAATTGCTTCCAGATAGGAACACGATCCCATCCGTGTTCAACCTTGTTTCCTCTGTGGCACGCCTGGAAGCAAACCCCAGAGCAATTCTGTCCCAGCTTCCTTCTCGAAATGAGCTCTGAAATCCATCCCAAGTTTGTTTCCAGCAGCAAATGTGGTTCCAATCTTGCCCTCTACTGATGCGTCTCAGCGGTCATGGTAATGACCTCCATCGATCACCACTACTGGAGGCTAAGCCTGATCAGCATCAGCTCCTTTATCGAAATCCCACAAGGAGTGACATCACCTCTGCCTGACAGGTGGGGAAACTGAGACTCAAGAGTGGGAGCTGACTCCACGTTTCAAAAGCACCACAATCAGTAAATGATAGAAGTGGGTCTTGGACCCAGATCTGCCTCTAAGAATCACCCTTTTATCCACTTCAAATGCTGTCTCCCTGAGTCCAGCCTGGATTGTTTGCTTCTAGACTCCTAGTGACCCCTACCCTCTTCCCCCTTCCACCATAGCCCACCCCCACCCCCAGTGGTTCTTCCAGCCCTGGCCTCACAGTTCATGCGGATTTGCTGGCCCAGTTCAGTCAGCTCCATCTCCGTGGGCATGTAACCCATCGTCCTCATGAGATTCCCCAAATCCTTACAGGAGATGAACCCATCTCTGTCCTTGTCAAACTCAAGAAATGCTTCCTGAAGCTCTGAAAATTAAGAGAGAAGAACTTTGGGGGAACCTGAAACAATCCATGGGGAAGACTTGCATCCCTTGAAACCATCAGGGAGGCACCAACTAGAGACTCTGCAAAGGAGAAGACATCTTTGAAAACCAAAATTTCAAAAAGGAGTGATGTATAAAATGCAGGTGGAGATTGCAACGTGCAAGATCGAAATGTGCAAGGGGAATGATCCGTGAGACCGCAAAGTGACAGCACCGCGGTCCTCCAAATTCTGGGGCGACATTATGGGAAACTTCCAAACCACCAAAAGAAAAACCAACAGTTTTGATTCATCTTAAAACTCATGCTTGTGTCCCTCCTGGGTCTCTGAGACACTTAGGGATGGGCGTGCCTTCTAAACACTTTGGGAGACTCCTAAGTGACCATCAAAAGGAGTTCCGCAAAATCACGGCTGAGTGGAGGAGAGAGGGGTGTGAAGCTTTCGTGGGAAGGGTCTACCCTGAGATGCACAGAGAGCAGCCTAGTGGCGGATGACGATGAGGCGGCATTTGGGGACAGAGGTTACCTTCGATCTCATCTTGTCCCAGGGGTCTTTCCTGGAAAGGAATGCAGGGGAGAGGGAATTTGGAGGAGGTCAGGGATCCAATATCCACTTCTCCAAATGCATCGTCCCCTCCCTCGTCCGAGTGACCCCTCCCCTTTCCTGTTTCTCCTCCACCTCCCCATCCTCTTCCTTCTCCCACTTCCTGACTCCTACACCTGACTGCTTCTCACCCTCTTCCTCATCACTTCCCATTTCCTCTCTCCTATCCCGGAATCTTGATCTCTCCCTCTGTCTTTCCTGAACAGACATCCATCCCATTGTGCTGCAAGGGGCCAGGGCATCCAATCCCCTCCTTTCTCTGGGACAAGAAAGCGAGGCTTGGAATCACAGCTAACCCGTGCTCAGAGTGCCAATTTCGTTTAAACCCCAGAGGTAGGTAGGGGAGGTAGGACCAAACAGCGTTCCCATCTTACTTGAGAAGAAGCTGAGGAATAGAGAGATTAAGGAAACAAACTGAGGTCACACAGCTCCTAAGTGGCAGAGTCCCTCCCAGGGCAGGGAGACATTAAATCACTCCCTCGACGTCAGGTGCAGCAAGTGCTGAGATTTGAATTCTGAGTCAAAATTCTTTCCACTACACCCCCTTGATTCTTGCCCCACCCACCCCATTCTTTCTCCCAAGGGTTAGAAGCCGTTTGCGTGGGACCAGTGTTCAGTGGCATCCAGGCAGGATGATCATTGGGTACGGGGCACGCCACCTGGGGAACCCCACCAGCCTCTGGCCTCTCCCTTTATCCTTAGAGCCTTCCCCCCAGCTTCTCTTTCTTATTATCCCCTCCCCCGTCTCCCTCCCTCTCTCCCTCTCTCTGGTCGCCTGAAAGCCTAGCAAGGAAATGTAAGCCCCTTGGAATCAAAGCGACCTGACTGGACCCTGCCACTCAGTAACTGTATAAGGCAAGGGGCTTTGTGCCTCAGCCTCAGTGCCTGCATCTGTGAAATGGGAACACAAGGGTGGCCAGCCTTACACGGTGGTCCTGAGGATGAAATGACAGCAGGAAAGCACAGCCCTTTGCGCAGGGCCGGGCAGGCCGCAGTGCCAGGCAGGCCGCAGTGCCTTGGTTAAGTGGCAGCTAATGTCATCGTCGTCCTCGCTCTCTCTGGGTGTCCACAGAAACGGGTGGTGACGGACAGGGACATCCCAGTTCCCCTTTTATTGGTGGGTCTTCTCCCTCTCTTTTTGCTGCTGACTTCTGATTTCACCCTCACCCACCTCACCGGCCCACGGAGCTCCCCGAATTCTACCTTCTCAGTCACGCGCCCCCGCCTGTGCCCCCCCCATCGGCTCCTGGTCCCTTGCACCTGTCACGCCCCTTCTTCCCCCACACCCAGCTCCCTTTGCCCTGCCCTTCCGCCTTGTCCACCACCTCACCCGCTGTTTCTCAGCGATGCCTTTCCTCAAGAAGATGCAGGCGGGGCCCATGGGAAACTGCATGGAGGGGCACGGCAGGGTGCACCAAGCACCAGGCACCAGGCTCCAGTCGGCTCCCCCTCCTCCCTGGCCCCCTCCTTCCCGTCCCCCTCAGCCTCCTTATCTTCCCTGGCACTCCTTTGCCAAGTCTTCCTGCCTCTCTGGGCCTCTCCCTCGGTCCTGGTGCCCGAGAGCTGTGACAGCTGGATCAGAAATCTCTCCCGGGGTTGGGGAGGGATCAGAGCTGTTCCTGCCTCCCCATCTGGCTTGAGTGAGGTGGAGAGGGCACCAGTCTCAGCCTCTGACCTTTTATTCCCAGAATAGAACTGGATGGTTTCGAAACCGGGGATTAGAGCAGAGGGAACCCATTCATTCGCGTTCCAGCGAGCCTGCGGGGTGCTCACTCCAAGCCCCGGGGGTTGGGAGGGGATCCAGACAGGGAGCCAGAGTTCAAATAGGGAGTGAGGGGGTGCCCACCGAGGGGCAGCGGGGCCCAGGGTGTTGGGGCCTGGGGGGGTGAGGATGCGCCGTGGGAGGGGAGCCCGGCGGGCCCTGCGAGAGTAGGAGCAGACTGAGGAGGTGTCTAATGCAGGTCCCGAGGATGTCCGCTCGCGGGGGCAGCACCGCGTAGGGTGTGGACACGGGGTCAGGGTGAGAAGGGCGGCCCCGCCGAGCGGGATGGAGGTGCGGAAGGAGGAGTCTGTGGTGTTGGGTGGAGGCACTGGTTTGTACTGGTGGGTTTCCATACAGAGAGGGATATAACAGTAAACAGACATCACGGTGTGCACGGGGACGTTGGTACGTATGTCGTCGAGCTAAGAGGACACAGAAGCAGGGACGCCTCCGGCTACCGGGGCTTGACTTCTAAATCCCATTCTCCACGAAAAGGAGCCAAGTCCTGGGAGACAGGGCTGCTCCCATGTCTGGAGCAGGACAAGCATGAGTCTAAAACCTCTTGTGCTGTAAAGCAAGGACACAGTTGTGGGGTCACGGCAAGGAACACAGAGGTCAGCCTGAAGAAGCTCCAGTGACCATATCAGGGGCAATTTGAAAATCCAAATAAATAACAACTGAGTATATAGGGTATCACAGGAAACCAGGAATCCATACAGACAGCAATAAAAAAGTGCCAAGCTTGACAATATTTATTTACATCGCACAAGGTATCCCCTTACAATATGCTAATTGCAAAGGAGGGTCACTTTATAGGGACACCGAGCAGACAGTATCTTAATGAAATGATTCAAATGAACATCATCAGTAATGTGACAAATCGAAATTATAAATTCGGTTCATGCACAATTATGAATGAGTACTCCTGCCCCCGTCCCCTGCTGGCCTGCTCTGCACTGGGCCCATGGGAAACTGCATGGAGGGGCACGGCAGGGTGCCCTGCACACACTCCCCAGGACTCAGCTCCGAGCACCGTCTGCCCTTGATGGTTTCGACAAGTTCTAGAAGCATTTCACCAGGGGTTAGATGTTCTAGCTGCCCTCCCCCACCCCGGCCTGCTCGCCCCAGCCTCATCCCTTTACCATCCTCATCTCCAGCCATCAGCAGGATCTTGTCACTCCCAGACCTTCACTGCCTGCAGGATTAGGTTCCACACCCTCGAGGGGGCACGCAAGGCTCCCCATGAGAGGCACTCTGGGCACAGGGCCTCCTGCGGACCACCCGGACCAAATCCTGGCCCTCCACCTCTTCGATAGTGGACCTAGGGAAAGTAACTTACATCCCTGTGCCTCAGTGTCCCCATCCGTCAAATGGGGTAATAAAAATTCCTATCCGGTGGGATTGTCGAGTGTCTTTGGTGAGGACGTCCCTGCCCAGCCCTGGTGGAGGGCCGGGCAGCCATGGCTGCTCAGGGCGGGGTGGTCACAGGGGTCTGCAGGGGCGTGGGGAGGAAGAGCATGTCCCCGGCCCCCTTTCCTCAGGAAGACTGGGTTCCATGCCTAAGGGAACCACGAGGCTGTACACAGAGCCAGACAGACGTGGGCATCCCCAGACACATAGCACTCAACACCAGTGTTATTTTGCCTTCAACATGTTGAGTTTGGTAAATATAGATGCACGTTAATTTGCTAGTTCTCTGAGGTAGAACTGTATCAGTCAGAAACTCTTCTGGCCATGAGAAACAAAAGCCATTTCACAGTGGGGTAGTCACACTGGGTTACGCATCGTAACTATTCCTTCACCCCGCACCCCACCCCAACCAGAAGCCCGCTGGGCAACAGCTGGCCCCTGGGTCACCGGTTAAGAGAAAGTGGCTACTTTCCCTGAGTCTCCTGGCTTGTTCCTCATGATCACAAGGTGGTGGCCCAGGCTCCAACCATCACATCCACAGTAGTTGAGGCAGGCAGGCAGGCAGGGCTGCTCAGCCAGGTCTCCTTTTTGATCAGGAAAACCAGCACCGACTACATGCTGGGCATTGTGCCGGGGCTGGGGACCCAAGGATGAGCAAACCTCACGGCTCAGGCCCCAGAACCAGCAGTCCCCAGTCGGTGGGCGCCAGAGCTGGGGGGGGCCTCACACAGTCACTGGCCTGTCTCCCACGAGGCTGGGGCCCAGTGCCAGGCTGCTGGGTCAGAACCCCGGTGCGGGCCTGGGTGCCCACTTCCCTGCTCTGCGCTCCCCCCCATCTGTGGAGCAGGGCCCCCCACACTGCCTGCCTGGCAGGGGCGCTGCACGTTACTCGAGTTAACGTTCACGGTCTAGGCCGCCACAGTCCCCTACGATAGCCGCTCGCTGCGTGCGGCTGCTTACAGGAAAACTCATGAAAGTGAAGGACAATCCACAAGGGCTCACTTGTCAGGGACACCGGCCGCAGTTCCGGTGCTCATCCTGCTTCCCAGCGTGGGTGCAGGGTGTTTCCAGCGCCGCGGAGAATTCGGGAAGGTGCTAGCATGCTGCCCACTGCACGCCACCCACGCGGGAGCGCCTGGAACTGTCCCCCCAGAGCCCAGCACACACCCTGACACGACAATGGGTGTTCAGTATTTATTGAAAGAAATGAGCAAATAAACCCCAGGCTCCGCTTAAGCCACCCCCTCACACACACACACACATGCACACCCGTGACACTCCAAACCCACGCGGCCGCAACACCAGGTCCACCGAGCAACAGGACACCCCCGCGTCCCCACGTCCGCGCGCCCCGCCCTCAGCCCCTGGGCAGGCGGGAGCCTAGTAGAAATCTTCCGGGTCGGAGTCCAAGTCCGCGCCCTGCTGGTTCTGAATCTGACTCTGCTTCCTGTACAGGGAGGCCACCTGAGGACAGCAGGCGGGGGGCGGCGGTCAGAAGCCCCAGGGTTGCCCCCACCCCGTTCCAGAATCCGCCACCGAGAGAAGCTGGTCCAGCCAGGCAAGCCCACCCCGGCTGGGGCCTCACCTGGGCACTGGTGGTGGCCTCCTCGGGCTTCTTGTCTTCACGGACGCGGATAAACCGAGGGAAGCGAAGGGAGATCCCCTTCTCACCATCCACCTGGGGGAGGGGGTGAGGATGGAGACCCTCCTGGGCTCCAGCCCCCAGGCCACTCACGGCAGCAGGTCCCTAGCCCGGGTCTCCTCCCCATGCCTGCCCCTCCAGCCTCGGCTTCCTGATCCATTCAATGGGGCTAAGCATAAAGATTAAACTAAGGGAATAAAGCGCTTAGGACTGTACCTGGAGCATACTAAGTGCTTAAGGAACGCCAGTCTGGTGGCTGTGATCTAGGCCGTTGTTCTGTTCTTACCCTCAGGGCCAAGAGGCAGGGCAGTAGACACGGGGTGTAGATTCGAGTACCAGACGGCAGGGTTCAAATCCCAGCCCTCAACTCAGGGCTGTGTGACCCCGGCCCAGTGACCTCGGTGGCCGGGCTCTACCTCCCCAGCTGTATGCCGGGGACACTCAGTGCTTCGTGAGGACGGAATGGTGCGAGCAAGTGTGGGGCCTGTGAGCACGGCGCCTGCTTCGCACGGAAGCTCCGTAAACGCTTGCCCTGCCATTTGTCACCGGGGGACCCTAACTGCCTAACATGGAGCCTGAGTGAGTAATTTTAAGACAGAAATTCGATTTAAGAATGTGAATTCTGGGGGGCGCCTGGGCGGCTCAGTTGTTAGGCATCTGCCTTCGGCTTGGGTCATGATCCCAGGGTTCTGGGATCGAGCCCCACGTCGGGCTCCCTGCTTAGCGGAGAGTCTGTTACTCCCTCTGCCCCTCCCCTGCTCATGCTCTCTCTCTCTCTTTCTCTATCAAAGAAATCAATAAAATCTTTT